CCCCAAAACCCCAAAACCCCAAAACCCCTACTTGAAGTACAGAGTTGAAAATTAGTATTAATCATAACTTTTGTGAGACTCTTTATTGTAATACCTATCATCATCGTCATAGCTTTGATCATAGGAGTCTGGGAGATAGCTATCTCTATAATCCCGGCTATCAGTGTAATCTCCAGATCTACTGTAATCTTCAGTATAAAGCTCCTCTTCTTCCAAGATTTCCTTCTTGATCTTCTTACGATATTGTTTAATGAGTTTGATTCTCTCAGCGTTAATCCTTCTGACAATTTCCTCATCTTGCTTTTTCTTCTCAATATCATACTGCTTCCTATTCTCTTTCTTCAGATCATAACTGTGACTAAGTCAGTTCAGCTTGATGACTATTTCTCCACTATCCTCTGTCTGTGGGAGACTATCATAAGGGATCATCTCTCTTTCTCCTTTTTCGTTAAGTTTATAACTCTGGATAATGTCTTCAAGTTCGAGGACTCTGACTGAACCTCCAAGGAAGAAACTGTGGAGTTCATTTTGAAATGTTCCTCTGGGTTTCCAGCACTGGACTTTGAATTCATGATATCCCTCTTCACTAGGGAACTGGAGGGAGCCATAGCCCTCTATTCTGTGTCTGCTCCAGGAGTCCAAGCTGTTTACTTGGAAGAGCAAGTATGGCCTTTCAGAACTTTCTTCCTTGGTATCTTGTAAGAATTGTAAATCAAATGGGAATCAGAACGAAGACTCATACACTCTTTGATGATTGTAATCAATAATGTTCGCATATGAAAACTGTGTAATTGAATCTCTCTTGTTCACTTCGTCCAAGTCTTTGATAATTCCTAGGGTCTCATAGCTGTTGTAGTCATCAAATTCCCATAATTCAGGGACATGAACTTTATAAGTAATTGATAACTTAGGCTGATCAAACCCTATAGCGCTTACTATTTCACCAGTATAACTAACTCTTTTAGACCCTGAGGGAGGAGGTTCAGCAAATCCACTTCCTATTAAATTATTCTGGAGCTGGATCTCCTTCTTTACAAACGCTAGGCCTAATGTTTCCGCCATAATTTATTATTTCAATTTAATATTTTGATCTTGGGGTTTTGGGGTTTTGGGGTTTTGGGGTTTTGGGG